ATATAGCGATATTGAACTCCTCGGGTTTGAGCAATTTATGTGGGAGGCCTATAAACTGGAAATCAAACCAGTCGCTGATACTGTCGTTGTTTGATGTGCCTTCCCATAAGCGATTCATGTCTGCCATTATGGTTGATTCGAGGTCCTCAAGCGGAGTGACGCCTAGGAAGTCGCGTATGACGAACATGATGCGAGATTTGGACTTTGCCGGAGCAGAAGCTGACTGGAAGAGTAAAGCGTTTACTTCAAAGACAGTTTTCAAAAGCGCCATATTTGCTCCTTGGTAGAGACCTACTTGGTTTTCCCAGAGATTTATGATCAATATTTGAGAGGTAGCTAACGCGAACAAGGCGGCTTTACGTTCGAAGTCCTGGTCTTCACCGCGTTCTCTGCCGTCTGAGCCCTCGACGTCAAGAATTATAGTTGAGCTCGATTGGTTTATAGAAGACAAAGAAAGCCAGATACCCTTTGTAGTTTGACGTCTGTGTCTTTCATCCATTATCTCGAAATTAGTATGAAACAAGGCATTCAACAGCGTGCTTTTACCTGTGCTTTGCGAGCCAAAAACGGCAACAACATTGTAAGCAGAATGAGTAGACTTATTCAGATAATTCTGGACATTGTTTCTTTTTGTGTTAGAGGTTTGTTATTTCTTTCTCAGTATACAGATTCACTTACAAATGGAAAACTTTGTCTTCGTCGATCAGCTGTACATTTAACGACATTGTGTATGTCGAATTCTATGTACTAAAACTGTAACACTAGAATGGATGGCGTAGGACCCTCAATGATGCTCGATTTGAGAGCAAGCCAGAGAACTTATGAGGGTGCATATATCAGAGCGGCATTAGGCCAAATTGTTCTATCGTTGTTATTTTTGCGGATCTTCGACAAGAAATTCATGTCAATTGCAGTCACGTACTCTATCAGCGGCATAATACTGATACTCGTGTCTCTCCATCGAAGGTCAATATCAAACAAAGTTCTTTATCATACTCCAGGCATCTATTTTACTACTGCTGGTCAATCAGTTGTTTTGATTACTGTATCTTTGACAATTGTCTATCTGGTCTTGATCGTCCTTCTATTCTCACTATAGATAGTCCCTGCCACCGCCCTCCACAACAGTGTCGCACCACTCTCAATGATATACATCTATTTTAATTCCTATTACATTTCTTTCCGGCATTTATTATTTTCTCTTTTACAGTTATGTCAATTTGCTCCTCGTAACTTCCTTGTAGACCACAATCTCTTCGGCTCTCTGCCCTACTACTCACCATCTCACATACCATCACATGGCTACTGAAATAGGCGTCACTGTCTCGTACTACGACCCCTTTGGGGCCTATTCCGTAATTCAATCTGACCTGGAGAGACTCTCTCCGCTGACAAACCTGCACTGGAAATGCGCACCGAGGCCCTTACGCTCAATCGGCTCATTGCCATTAAACCTCATAGAAGAAGCCCCTCTAGCGTCAGTACCGCAAAAGCACCAGCTGCCTGGCATGGACCAGTCGCCTTTCGTAAAGATAATTGTCATACAGTGCGATGACATAGATATCTACAGAGCTTCAGCCCGTAATATTGCTCGTGAATGGCTCAATATCAACGTGAACGGCTCAAGAGATCCAACAGAATGGTTCATCTTGTACATCATGCCTGCCGATCCCAAAAAATCTCTCTACGATAAAATCAAGTCGAATTTTTGTCCCGACACAAACAAGTGTATTGCCATTCCTCACGACTCGAAAAACTCTCGCGTCTGGTCTTCGGTCATTGAGCTGCTTAAGGCATCAGTGCTTAACGCTCTCACAAAACGCGTTACAGTTTACGAATCTGAGATATCTAAACTATGGGATCAGAAATCTCTCCCTGGCTGGAACTTCGGCTCTTTCTTTGTTACGAAAGAATCTTTGGCTCTGTCTTTTGAACATATGGCACTCTTGGACGACGCTCTGGCTCAGTATGACGACCTCGAGGCCACGTTTAATGAATTAAATCAAACCACTCAATCTTTCCTTGATTCAAAGCAGCCAGAATCCTTTTTGCTTTCTTGCAATCCCTTTACGTTAAACGACCAGAAAAGCACTCGGTTAAGTATTATTGAGAACAAATTGTCTCTTCTGGAGTTTTTATTCTATCTGTTCTCAAGACAGTGCCAGGTCCTCTTCAAAATGTCAAAGTTGGCTACCACCCCCTCTGCAGGCTCCACACATTTGGCTGATATAGTAACCCGGACTCGCGACTTTGTTCTCAGGTTACGGCCGAGTATGCGGTTCAATCACGCTCTTGTTTGTGAGTGGGCACTGCAGCTTCTAACAACTGTTTTGGATCAGGTGGAAGTAGACACATCCAACCCCAAAAGCTACGCAACGCTACTCTCTGCTAAGTCAGGCATGGTACTCTTTGCCAGAGATTTCATAATCGAGTTAGGCGAAATGAAAGGATGGTCCGTAGCTTTGGAGCAAGAAATAGACCTCTCCAAACAGCCTGCAGACCAAGCAGGTGATCCTGGACTGATATCGTCAATTATGTTAAAAGACATTTTGAAATCAGAAGATTCCTGGTTTGAGAGCTTTCACACTTACTCAACCAAATATCTTGAACTGAATGGTGCTTTACTAGAAAGTTCTCACTCTGCAGATTTGGTAAATTGTCAGTTAGCATTGGCATTTTATGATCGAAAAGATTATGAATCTGCCGCCAAATACTTTGCGTCAATTCCTCTATCCATATCTCTGCAAAAATGGCAGTTTCTCTCGATATCTCTTCTCACAGCGTTTGCAGATACAATGTGGAAAACTGAAAACTACTCGTTCTTTGCTAGAGGTGCAGTCGCTCTGATATTCAGGCATAAACAGATCTTACAGGATTCCAAGCTTCAGGAACTTAGCGAGAATCTTGCAGCCTGCAGTAAAATGATTTCAGAATCCCTCTCATTTGGTGTTTTTGATGCTAAAGTTTTCTTTGACATTCAATTTGCTGAAGCCATTCATTTCAATGAACTTGACGATGCTACCTTTCTAAAAGCCTCCCTGAAAAACCTTCTTCCGGTTGATTTGCATATAGACACTATAACTGCTGATCTCTTGTCGGATGTTCCATTGAACGGAAAATCTAATTCCATAGTATTACCATTCTCGGCTCATGATATTTCTCTGAAACATTCTGATGCGATCGATCTAGATCTCCGATGCACAACTCTAACTTCGGGTCTGTACAAGGTTGCTCGAGTACGGATAGTCAGTGGGAAATTCACGTTTGTTATGGAATATAAAGTGCATCCAGAACTCATTATTGTGCAGAATCCTAACGGATTTGACGTCTTCCCTTCTTTTCCTTCCAACCAGGATCTGAAAAGCCATAAGTATTTGGTATTCAGTGTAAAAGCTGGTTGTAAAGACATCAATTCTGCTAAAATTGAGCTGAACTCTCCTTTCCTTGGACATAAATTCGACTTGAATCAAATTAAGATTACTGGAATATCCGATTACAAAGTCGAAGATCATCTTATTCATATAAAAGAACCAATTATGACAGGTACTGCCATTGAGATTGCCGTTCCTCTAGACGTTCATTTTCAGCTAAATGTTCTGAACACATTTATGAGAGTTGAGTTTTATTTGAATGACGAGAAGTTTGTGTTTATGGATACAATAAGCAGCGTCATTGATGCTCCTATAAGTATCCTTGTGCAAGATGTGTTTTGTGCCAACTCACTTTTATGGAAGTTTTCATTTTCAGTTGGCAAAGCAAAGCGACTGAATAGCGCATTTCGACTTATATCCTCCAAAATCAAAGGCAACGACTGTTTTTCCATCCACGGACCTGGGAATAGTTTACGAACATTGTTGGTCACGGAAGGACGCCCTGTGACAAATGTGTATCGAATTAAGAGAACCACCAAGCCATTAATAAGCGAGAAGCAGTTACTAACTTTGGAACTTCAATATTCAAGCGTTAACAACGATGTCAGACAAACTCTCTTCAATAAATTGGAGCAATCGCTGAAGGAGTATGGATGTTATGATTTCTTTAGGCTCTTTCGGAGAGTTGTTTATGATATACTGATTGACGATCAGATCGAATGTTCTCCATGGGGAGAAATCAAGTTACCAAGCTTGCTTCGGCCTACCCTTGAGAAACGTTTAAAGTCTGCTAAAGTCTCATCTGATATTCAGAGCAAGATATTGGACAAGGTACTGGCAGATTACTCATTAGAGGAGTGCGAGCATCAGGTGTCTTCACTGGAGATCCAGGTTTCAATCCCCAGCATGGAGTATTTATATGAAGCTGAGCTTCAAATACCATTTGATTCGCGCATAACTGTGGGCAAACCCGTGAAAGCTATCTTAAAGATCACTCCTAACACTATATGGAAAATAGATAAAGATGACGCCAATGACAATGATGATTCGCTGAAAGATGCTCAATGCTTTTACGAAGTGAGTGCTGACAGTTGGCTCATTTCTGGCCCTACGCGTGCGCACTTTGGATTAAACGATTCGGTGCATGCAAACTTTGAGATAATTCCTATAAAGGAAGGATATTTGAATATCCCGCAAGTTCTCATTTGGCCCCAGCAGAAAATAGCGGACAAAATAACAATTGGATTAGACTATACCAGTGAAAGTGTTACCGTGCCTGTGTTTTCTGAGCATGCAGTTGGTTTTTATTCAGTGAACTACTCTGACGATAAGCGAGGAGCAAGCATAACTGCTAGTGTTACGAGCGGTATGTTTGTCAATCACTAATCGTTAGTTTGTCGTATTCATGGCTGCTATAACCCCTCTTGATGATTATATGACTATTAGACGTGCTAAAACGATGTTTCCTGTTATTTAGCACGCTATTATATAATTTATTTATTTCTTAAACACGCAATAAAGAATGTGGATGTGACATTTTTGTGTAATTTGTCTTATTGTAATAGTTTTATGTTTAGCTTTACATGTAAAACATGCCCATAGAAGGGATTGTCTATTCGACTGCATATAGCTCACAGGGCGCGGTGGCTGCGCATGAGATTGCAGATCTCCAGGCCGTCGGTTCGAATCCGGCTGTGAGCTTTAATTTTTTTCTTTTTTGGTGTATTAAAGTTTCTGGCCAGACAGTGTGGTTTTTGATCGTGGTCAGCTAATCCTTTTTTAATCGAGACGGTCTATGTTTTTTATCTAGTACCCTTATTACCGGTTTGCTCTTTATTTTTCTGTTTAATAGCCGAGAAGCTCTTTTGTCCGCAAAAACAACGCATTGAACAATGAATGACATCCAAATCGGCTAATGTGTGGAGAATCCGGAGATCTTCCCAATGGGTAGTTAGCCGTATCTTTTATATAGCCGAAGTATCTGAGTATATATTTAAACCTCGACGTCGTTTCTAACTAATACTTTGTATATATCATCTAGATTCAGGTATCCAGAAGACATTTGTTTGTTTGAATCCTCATTTAAGTTCTTCTAGAAGGATTTGCCACTGTCAGTTCTACGTGTATTATTGAGTTCGCAAAAAGTAATTCTCTGTAGACAAGTGACTCCCTGAGTACATCTATATTACTGCCAGAACGTTTTGAATATAGGTCTCTGTAAAATATCATTATGCTAAGAAACATTGCTGGTGCTAAAAGTGTGAAAGCAGCAATGTCCGGCTCTAAAGGCTTAACCACTTTATCGCGATTCCCCTATCCGACGCTTGACGATGAGGAGAAGTTCTTGGCCGAGCAAGTGGCCGAAATCGAAAAGTGGTGGGCAACCGACCGATTCAAGGATATCAGACGCCCTTATGACGCGCAAACAGTAGCTTCACTTCGAGGCACTTTACCGCAATCATATCCATCTAGTGTACAAGCTGATAAGCTATTCAATTTGTTCAAAGCTCGATTTGACGCCAAACAGCCTGTTCATACTATGGGTGTTGTTGACCCTGCTCAAATGACTCAACAGGCCCCCAATCAGGAAGTGGTCTATATATCTGGATGGGCCTGCTCATCTCTTTTGACTACGACGAACGAAGTCAGTCCTGACTTTGGCGACTATCCCTATGACACCGTCCCCAACCAGGTCGAGCGCATATTCAAGGCCCAGGATCTGCACGATCGTCGCTCGTGGGAAGAGTGGATGTCGTTCTCTCGCGAAGAGCGTGAGAAACGCACGAGCGAAGGCAAAGGACGCACAGACTATCTTCGCCCTATTATTGCCGATGCCGACACGGGACACGGCGGATTAACTGCAGTGATGAAGCTAGCCAAACTTTTTGCTGAACGCGGAGCTGCGGCAATTCACATGGAAGATCAGCTTCATGGCGGTAAGAAGTGTGGACACTTAGCTGGAAAAGTTGTTGTCCCCGTTTCAACCCATATTTCTCGATTGAATGCTGCGCGCATGCAGTGGGATATCATGGGCACGTCTAACTTGCTGATTGCCCGCACAGACTCACAATCGGCTAAGCTCCTCTCTTCCAGTGTTGATCCTGCCGACCACAAATACATCCTTGGAGTGACCGATCCGTCAGTCAAACCATTGGCTGAAGAACTACTTGTTGCTTCGTCGAAGGGCGCTACGGCCGCGCAAATGTCTGCTGTTGAGGCGAAATGGACAGATTCTGTCAAGCTTGTGACGTTCGAAGAGGCCGTAGCGGCCGAATTAGAAAAAGAAGGCCGCGGTGCTGAGATTTCAGCGTTCAAGGCCGCTACTGAAGGATGTGTTCCGCTCACGGCTATGCGCGAAGAAGCCGCTAAGGTTGTCGGCCGCGAAGTTTTCTTTGATTGGGATGCTGCAAAGACAATTGAGGGACATTATCAGGTACGTGGAGGCATGGAACCTGCTGTTGCCAGATCCATTGCGTTTGCGCCTTATGCCGATATGCTGTGGATTGAGACGGCTACGCCTGATATTTCTGAGGCCAAGGCTTTCGCTGAGAAGATACACGCTAAGTACCCTGGCAAATGGCTAGTGTACAACTTATCGCCGTCATTTAACTGGTCTGCGCATGGATTTTCGGAACAAGACCTGAAAGATTACGTATGGGAACTTGGCAAGCTTGGCTACGTCCTGCAACTTATTTCTCTTGCTGGACTGCACTCGAACGCCGTGATGACGCACAAACTCTCACAGGCATACAAGACCGATGGTATGTTGGCTTACACCAATATGGTGCAGCTCGTTGAGCGTGAGACTAAGTGTGATGTCCTTACGCATCAAAAATGGTCTGGAGCCAATTATGTAGACAAGATTGTTCAGGCCGTACAAGGTGGTTCTTCTGCCACCGCATCTACAGGCAAGGACTCCACCGAGAATCAGTTCTAGAGTAATAAGATTGATCTAAAACTCTAATTCTACTAACACACGTACACACACATACCCCCACCACGTCTCCCTATGAGTAAACGGACCGCGTCCAGTAGCCATGCCAATGAAAAACCGCGCAAATCTCGCAAAATCAAAACCAAAAATACTCACAGAAACCTGCTGGACAGTTATACGTACAGACAAACTTTGGATATCCTGGTACGTGACACATATGGCGATACTGACGTGATTGTGTCGAATATCCTGAATCAATATGAGGTGTACTACAATGAACCATTTAACCCAGAACAACTTTCTACAATAACTTTATCACGGACTGCAAACATTAATGAGATACTTAACAAGGCCGTAGGTTACTGTGTTCGAGCCAACCTGAATAACATACTCTCCGTATCATTCTCGTGCAGCCAATTGCACGCGGGTAGACTTAAACAGACCTGGGAACCTGTGCATATTAGAACTATTCGTGAAGAATTCAATTTTCTGATAAAAGCCTCTTCACCTTTGTTTGTTTACTGGGTGCTGACACGAACTTCCATGATCCGCAGAGTGCAATCTGAAAACTATATACACATATGTGGACCTCTTCTTACCTCCTCGTTTTCTGCAAAACGTAATTCCGCTAAACCAGCACCTATATCTATATCGCAGACTGATCTTCTGAACAGTAACTATTCTCCTCTAAATCCAAAACTCGGTCCAAAAACAGGACCTATAAAAGAGAACTACTCCACACTCCTCCATCGCTCATTGTCTATCAACTACAATGACCCTTCAGACCTCTTGGATCTGATAAAATTCGTGTTTCCAAAAGAAGTGTGCTTTTCGAGAGGATACAGTTCATCTAGCTCTGGAAACATCAGACCGCCGCTCAAAACTTCGCATTTCCCTCCCCGAATGCCATCGCCAGAGAAACTCAACGACCGCATAACTAACCACATCGCCCCGTTGTTACAGCAGATATGCATTAGGTACAAACGTACCAGGTTCTATATGATCTTCAGGTACCATATGTGGGAAACGTGGCGCCAGAGAGTTGAAGAGAACGACCACATGAGACTTATTCCAGCAGAGTCTGTATATCTCTTCATGAAAGCATGTACAAAAGCTCTTTTTCCCTTTAGAACATTTGGTTCAGACCATAATTGGTCAATTGTGTTTTCTAACATGAGAAGAATTATCTACTCACGCCCTATTTTCTCCTTAAAACTTCATGAAATATTGAAAGGCATCCGCACTACTGACATCTCATGGCTGGGAAAGCCAACTGGTCAAAAATTGTCACTGCACGAATATGAGAAACGCCAAAATATACTCTCTGAATTTATATGCTGGTTCTTTCAAGTCTATTTCTGTCAGGTTATAAGGGGCTACTTTCATGTAGCATACTCTCAATCCTCAGAACAATTGCAATATTTCTTCCATGAAGATTGGGCAAGTAACTCCAACTCTCTTGTGAAAGATCATTGCTCTGATCTGCTTACATCTACCAATATTGATGGAGATAATGCATATACTGATATATTCCTCTCGGGCAAAGGCGATCCATCTCTCCGCCTCCCCTTTGGCCGTTTGCGCTTTGTTCCTAAACGCAACGGAACGGGTCTAAGAATGATTGTTCCCGCTCTTTCTGTTCCTAGAGGAGATTATAGATCTGATTTGTACAGGTACAAAGAGAGTTTACTCCTATTGCAACGCATCCTCAGATATGAATTTGAAGTCAGTAACACAGCTGTCACTGAGCGGTTCGGGTCCGCGGCTGACTGCTGGCAATGTCTTCACGATTTCAAAGTCTCTACTCCGAGCTCCGAATATTATATGGTAGCTATGGATGCGAAGGATTGCTTCAATTCTCTTCCTCTACCTTTAGTGGATTGTCTGTTGACTGGCCTGCTCCGTAGCGAGAGCTATGATATATACAAGTATCACGAAGTTGTTGCTAATGAGTTCAGAACTTCTTTGAAGATTATGCATTCTGTGCTTCCTCATACAGGCGTTAACACTGATGACTGTACTGAACCCTTAGTCTTTGATTCGCCATCGAATATCGCTTTGGCTTCAAACAAGCCTTCGCATAAAACTAGTCGCATTTTCAGCCAGTTTGGTATAGCGAAAAATCCTCTAAAGGGCACTTCAGCCGATTTTACACTCATCACTAAAGAGTTCCTCGCGTACCTAATACAGGCTGAGCTTCACCAAAACAACGTATGGCATCGGAGACAAACTTACAGGTTTAAGCAAGGAGTACCACAGGGATCTTGTCTTTCGGTTATATGCTGCAATGTATTGTATGCTGCCCTTGAACGTGAATGGCTGGCTGAATTCATTAGTAACCCGAAGGCCAAACTAATCCGCTACATTGATGATATCCTATTTGTCACTACTGAGAAAGAGGTAGCTAAAGCATTTGTAGCTCGAGTTGAAGCTGGAAATGAAAAGTATAATTTTTACGTCAACTCAAGCAAAACAAAGCTCAATTTCTCAGACCTAGGCATCCTGGACGACGTGAAGATCTCATTCTTAGGTCATTCAATTGATTCTAAGACTCTAACTCCAACTCCGCTTGAATTCACCTATTCTGGATATAATACTGGACTGTTTCCGCTCAGCTTTAGTAATCATCTCTATGACCTTTTTCTAAAAACTAGAACTGCAATTCTCAGTCTTCTTCAGACGGCGTTCTCTATCTCAACATTTCAAAGCTTCCTTTCTTTTTCGCTCTATTTGCGCAATTCCTTTATGTCACAAGGCTGGAAGTTGT